CTCAGCAAGAGGAATGCTCTTCATTTGGAATCCTGGTCCAGCTGGAGGGGGACAGGGCAGGGACACAAGAGCTGGGCAGGAGTCCCAGGGCCCCATCCTGGGGGCCGAGAGTCAGCATCCGGCAGGGAAGGGCCACCAGCCAACACAGGGGGGCAGGTCCAGGGCGCAGGGTCTTCAGGGGCTGAAGCCCTCAGAACAGAGCCTGGCACACAGGTGCTCAGCAAACCACCAGAAGCCAGGGCAGAGAGTCTCCCTGGCAACCCCGGAAGAAACGGACCCTGCTGACACCCTGACAGTGGACGTCGAGCCTCCAGAAGCCTGACAGCATAGAGCTCTGCTGGCTAAGCCGCTCGGGTTGTGATACGTAGTCATGGCGCTGGAGCGACTAACGCACCTGCCCGGGAGTAGATAACATCTGTGTTACGGGTGAGGAAACGGGAGGAACACTGAGAACTCTGCCAAGGTTCCATGGCCAGAGGGGGGCCCTGAGGAGAGCCCAGGGGGCACCAGCCTGTCCACTGGAGGGGGAGTCGCACCTGCACCGCTGACCCTGTGAACCTCAGGATGTCGCTTGTCTCTCGCACTCCCTGAGTAGGAGGCATCCAGGCCAGACCAGCTGGGAAATGCACTTGACCCCTGGCCACAGTCACCCCCTGAAGAAGGAGCTGAGTCAGTGGCACCCTGCTCTCCGCAGGGTGGAAGGGGAGCCGGAGGCCAAGGGCAAGCAGGAACTAGAACCCCCCGCTACCAGAGCCCTGTGAGATTTCTTCAACTCCTGCCACTTCCCCACTCTTTCCCCTCCGATACCCACCCTTCTGCTCCGCCTGGCTGCTAATCAGCCCCTGACAGCAGGAGAGGCTGGACTCGGCCTCAGGGATCTGCAGAGGCAGGAGCCGAAGGAGGGCTCCACCCGCCAAAGGCCAGCCCAGCCCCTAGAGAGGGACTCCCACTGAGGGATTTGGGGAATGAGGGGCCACCCAGGCCTGGAGCCATCAGGGATAAATGAAACCTCCCTTCCCGGGGCCCCGGGTGCTACACCAGGGTCCAGGCAGGAGTGACCTCAGACTGCGATGTTGCTCTGCTCACTCCTTTCATTCCTGTACCTCCCGGCTGCTTCCTGACAAAGATCAGGAGCACAAGGGGAAGACAACGGAGGGGCTCTCGGCAGGCCCTCGCCCACGGCCTGGACTCCGGCAAGTTGCTCAGTGACGTGGGCAGGGGGCGTCTGCTGTGCCTTGGGAAGGTGCAGGGGGATGTGGGTGAGCGCAGAAAAGGACCAGAGTGCTCCCCGAAACATGCAGCAATTCATCCCAACCCAGAGCCCTTGCTGGCGGGCGCCCTCCTGCGCTGGGGGGTGGCGTTCACGTAGTATTTCCAAACTAAAAACACATTTTTTAAATATGTTTTTCCCCCTGATCATCGCAGCAATCCCACGAGGTAGAAACCATTGTGTTAATACACAGATGGGGAAACTGAGATTGGGGCTGGCTCCATCACTGGGCTGGAATTCAGAGCTGAGCGACCCCCCGCCCAAGAGGCGCCCTGCACCTGTCCCAGAAACCAGCCTCAGGATGGGTCACCACCACAAGGCAGCACCGACCCACCTCTGCGGATGGCCTCACACGGCGGGGCTCCTGGGGCTCACCCGTGCGCTGAGCCAACCATGCCGGCAAACCCCCTTACCTCTAACCCAGCCCTTCAGCTGCAGCCTGAGCCCGTTTCCTGTGTTCTGTCCAGAGCAGAAGAGAGAGAACCACCCACTCAACACCCATTCTGTAAAAACCCTCGTGTTCCTGCACACGTCACAGTCATCCTGCAGGCTCGGCTTCCCCCAAACTTCCCTCCTGCTTCTAATTTTCCAGTTTTTACTAATCTCTGGGGGCAGTGGTCTGGGGGTGGGAGGCAGGTGGGAGGCAGAGAGCGCTCGCTGTAGAAGTTGGCAGGCATCCTCGGGCCCCACGCTCCCAGTTGTGATGGGATGAGATGGTGGAGAGCCCAGCTCAGTGCTGGGAAGGACACACAGGGAGCAGCCCGAGGCCCAGCGGTGCCCAGACAAACCTTCCGCCCCATGTGCCCAGCTCTGCTCTATTTCTCTCCACTTCACAGTTCCCCATAGTCGTCCGTCTGCATCTAGAACCTCCCTGCCTGGCCGACGGCCCTCCCCACCCAGACTGGGCCCTCTGCAAAACCTGTCAGGTCTCCAGCTCTCCATCCCAGTATCATGCCACCATCCAGCAGGCCTGGGCCCTGGGAGGTCACTCTGAGACCCGGTCTGTGTCGGGTGGGCACTTGAAGGGTCTGGTCTCCCCAGCGTGGGACCTAGAGATCAGGACAAATCTCCCTCCCATTTGCTGGCTGGGAGCAGGGGGAGGTATGCTGCTCAGAGCAGAGCAACGGCCTAACTGAACTCAAGATAGGTGACATCTATCACTTCCCTGCAATCTGCAAGCCTGTCACTCGGCCTGCAAAGATTAGATTAGAGAGAACCCTGGCCATCAGAAAATCCAACTTGAGATACCTAATATCTGCTTCTCTTTGGTCTGTGCCCACAGCGCCTGTGAGGCTAGCTTCACTGGCACTTTTTCAAGTGTAGAAACAGAGCAGGCAGGCCCCTGCTTTGCGAGGTCCCCCCCAACCCCCACACCATTAGCTCCCGCCCAAGGGCCTTTCAGCTCCCAGCAGGGCCGCGGCCCAAGCCTTTGGGGCCCTCCCATTGGCTGGTCAATGCCGCCGCCTCTGGGTGTTCTGGAAAGGCTCGCAGCCCCATGTGTCTCACACTCCTTTGCCTGGACAGCAATACAAGCCCCCACCGCTCACCCCGGTCCGACCTCCCCTTCCCAGGACTGGTCATTCGACAGGATTTGAACGGTGAATGCTGTGTCCTGCTTGCACTCCACACAGTCAGAGAACTTCAGAAAGAAATACCCAGACGGGAGCGGAGCAGCGACTCTGGCTCGGGTCTGACCGTCAGGTCTCACCCTCCGGGAAAACATGCCAGCCAGGTTCCCCAGGCACCTCCCGCCCGTCGGCACCCCAGCAGCAGCCCGACTCCAGTCTCAGGGGTGGCCGAACCCCGAGAGCTCACACGGCCCCTCAGCCATCCCAGCTGCCATCTCCAAAGCCCAAAGTCCCCCTAGGACTTTCCGTTTCAGGCTGGGTTCAAGGAGCACCACATCCCCAGGTGCTTCCTCAGCTGGCGCTTCTCAGGTGGGAGCCGAGGCCGCAGACCGTGGGCCCCGCGGGGAGGGGGGTGCGGCCCGTTCTTTTCACGCCCTCCCCTGCCCACTCGGCGCCCCCGGCCCGCACCCCTGCCTGCACCCCTCCCTGGTGCGAGCTCACCTGTCCTTCATCCCCGGTGCCAGCCTGGGACGCAAAGATCTCACGCGGGCAGAGACCGGCCTAAGGGGTTGTCATCTGCAGCCCGAGTCCTGGGCTGGACGTGAAGGGGGAGGGGGTGAAGGAGGTGTCCGCGCCTCCGGGTGGGAGGATAAACAGGATTCCCAGACTGGGCGTTCGGGAACCATCAGCCAGCGGGCCTGGCCCCTCCCGCAGGTGAGCCCCTCCCCAGGGCCTGGGCTCCCCACGGCCTCAGGTGGGAAAAAGAACCCAGAGTCCTTAAGCAGAGAGAAGACCTCGTGGGCGGGCGTGGGCTCAGACATGCCTCATCTACAGCGGATCCCAGCCCTTCATTCTGAGCCTCACTTTGTCAAGTCGCCTCCTGCCCCAAACTACTGCAGGTGAATGCCTGGGAAGTTTAACATTCTCGGGAAACAGCACAGCTGTGCTCCCTGAAGTCACTCGTGCCCCCCTTCGTTCTCCCTGCCTTGCTCTGCGGGTCCTTCTCCAGCTCCTTGCCCCCACCCTCTCTCCCCCTCCCCCGCCTCTCTCTCCTCCTCTCCCTCCTCTCCCCCTTTTCTCCATTTCTCCTTCTGTGCCTGGGGGGAGCCCTACTTTCACGGACCCTCTCCCCAAATGAACGTCTCAACATCTACAAATATTAACTTCATTAATTTGGGAAGGATTTATCAGTGCAGAGGTTAATTGTCTCTCCCTGACATGTTTTTATTGAATACATCTGGGTGACAAAATTAATTTCCTCATTAGCTATTTTTAAAAGTGGAACAAGCTAAGGGGGAAATTGGTGCAGGGAGGCTGCAATGTGAGCTATTCTGGCCTCCAGGCCGCCCCGGGCCCTGCCCCAGGTTCCCCTCCCGGGGGTGCTCACTCAACCCCAGGAGCAAGAAGCACCGAGGTCAGGGCTCAGGCGGAGGTGCCTCCTAAGGGAAGGGCTGTGGGGAGACTGAGGTCTGCGTTCTGGGGCGAAGCCAGTCTCTGTGGTCCCGGGAGCTCCAGGGAGAGGCCTGGGCCCCTCAGCGCAGAGCCAGGACCCGCCCTGGCTGCTCCAGGCCCCTTCCACTCCCCATGAGGGTGCCTCCTACTTGGGCACCCAAATAGTGGCTCTCTTGAGCTGAGTAAGATCAGCAGGTAGAGACAGAGATCCATCAGAAGAGCCCAAGTTCCACAAGCCATGCTGCTGAGCCCGGAAAGCCAGACCAAGTTCCTCTGGGGTCCACGGGAATGGCTCCCGCATCAGGACCCGAGAAGCCAGGCCCCCCGTGTGCTTATGACAGTGGCGTCCAGCCCAGATGCCCCCGCTAGAGTGGCCAGGGGGCACCTGCACTGAGGGGAGGCCCCCTGGGCCGGGCGGGGGGGAGGTAAACGCTCATCCAGGTGCCCCGCCCTGGAATTCAGAATGTGGACATCCCAGAGCACCAAGTGGGGGGCTGGTGGTGTCAAGTAGCGGAGAGCCATGGGGCCTGGGCCAGTCACTCAGCTTCTGTGGTCTTGGCTTCCTCGACTGTGAAGGACACTAGCCGCCTCACTTCCATAAATCCTCTGGGACCTGAGGCTTCATTCTCAGAGATCCCAGGAACCTCCCAGCCACCAGACCCCCTAGCTGTCCCAGCCCTCCCCACCCTCTGGAACCCCCCCACCCACCTTTCAGAGTTACCCTTCCCCTCACTCGGGGCCCAGGACAGAGGACACCAGAACTTAAAGACCCAGTAAGATGCAGAATCCAGAACCTCCCCGAGCTGAGCCCGCTACCCACTGCAGCCCCTCCCAGGCTGGCAGCCAAGGGCTTTGGGCCTCCTTCTAGCAGAGAAGAAAAGACACCCAGGGATCAGACGCTGCCATGGGCCAAAGCCAGGTGAGACCCAGAAGCCCCTTCCTCCAGGGGTCCAGCTCCAGGCTATCAGCTCTGTCCTTTCTAGGAAATAAGACCGCGTGGGACGTGGTGCTGATTCAAATCCCAAATTTCCTGTTGCTATAAACTGAGATACTACACACACACACACACACACACACACACACAGAGGACGCTCCCCAACGGCCACTTCTGACTTAGCCCAGAGAAATTACCATGTGCAGCAGTTCTAGGAACAGGAAAAGCCAGACCCAGGGAGCTATCTGAACATCACCCGTGGCCAGCCTGGGGCGGAAAGAGGACGGGCTGCTGGCACCTCCCCTCCCAGGTTTTATCTCCTGGGCAGTTGGGCCTGCCTTTCTCACGGCCGCCTCTTCCTCCTGAGGGCAGCAGCTCAGCTCGGGCAGAAGGATCCTGGGCACCAGGGTGCCCTCGGCCCCTCCTGAGCTTGCTGCTCGGGCACCCACTGGATGTGTGCTGAAAATGACAGAGAGGGGCCTCTCCCAAGAGCCATCCCTGGGCTACCCACGCACCAGCAGGAGGTGATCACACATACAACCAGGAGCCCGTAATCTCATTCCCAGGTGTCCCCCTCACCCAGCTCCAATCTCTTTACATCTGGAAGACCATCTCCCTCCACCTATCTCCAGCCATCCCTCCCTGCTTCTGGCCTGCCTGGCCCTGGGAGGTTCCTGACCTCCTTGTGGGGGAAGGAGTCTGGATGCAAAATGGGAAGAGGCAGATTGGCTCCTGCTTCCCAGAAGCACTCCAGCCAGCCTGGCCTGGGGGTAGGGGTGGAGGGCAGTCCTCAGGGCCTCCCATGCCCCCTGATGCTGAGCCTGAGGAGAGGGAATACAGGGGCCCAGGGAAGACTTCCCAGAGGGGATGAAAGGAGCTGGGTTCTGAAGGATGAAGAGGAGTTTACTGAGCTGATCAGAAGGGAAGAATGTACAGAGAGGGAGCAGCATTTGCAGAGGCCCTGGGACGTGAAAAGGGACCAGCCTTGCTGGGGATCTTGAAACTAATCTGGGCTGCCAGCATGTTCACTTCAGAAGGTCGAGGATGGTGGGCCAGCCGGGTGTTTCTCCCCCATAAGTGCTTAGTGGGAGTGAAGCTGGAGAGAGGCAGAATCTGACTGTGGGTTGGGAAGAGCCCTTGGGAGGCAGTGCCGAGGCCAGACGGGAGCTATGAGAGCCACGGTGAAGCTTAACCTCGAAACCGGGGAGCACTTTTTCTAATGGCCTCGCTTCCTCTAAGAAACACAGTGGAGACCGTGTCCAGTGGATTCTCCGAAGACCTTGGGGAGCACGCTGGAGGGGCTGGTCCCTGGCACCCTGGGTCCTCCCAGTGAAGTGGTTTGCCCACAAGGTTTTGTGGAACCAGGAAAGTTAGATCTTGCCCTGCTTTAGAGATGGGGAACCCGAAGTAAAGGGAGGCTGCGTATCAGGAAGTCCATGTCTGTGCCAGGAATCGTGCTCCCACCGCCCTGGACTCCCACACTCGGACCACACGCTTTTGATGTGGGTGCGGCAGCAGCACACTTTTTCCTGAGAATGCACCTGGGTCACCTGTGTCACCTCCAAATGTGGACATCTGGGTGCTGTGAGGTGCCCCACCTGAAATGCCGCCCCCCTTCCGAAGCCAGCGGACAGTTGTGCAAAACCTAAGGCCAGAAAGGAGACCGATCGCGGAGCAGAGCTGACGCGGGCTCTATGTAGCTGCAGCACCAAGGCCCTCGTTCTTCGAGTTCATTCCAGTCTGTCCTCATCCACGCCTTTGTGCCGTGATCTGTTGAAAGAACAGCGTCTCTCCCACTAAGCGAAGTGCGCTGAGGACGGGCTCGTGGAAGGTAGCCGGCACTGCTGTGCAGGATGGATAAAGGCCATCCGTGCTGAGGCTGCTTGAAATGGAAGGGGATGGAGATGGGGCTTGGCCCAGATCGTTCCGAGGGCAGTGGTGCTTCCCAAGGGCTCACCTCTCTGTGGCTCACAGATCTGCTGTCCGCTCTCCCAAGGTTTTCTGTCTTTGGAAGAACAAATCCTGGTCAGCTCGTTGCCTCAGCAATGCCCAGAGCTGCTCCAGCCAGCAAGTGTGGAGAGCGGGTCACCAGAGCGGGGACTCCCAGAGTTGGTCCCTGCCCGTGCACAGTGGGGTTTGTCAGCCACCCCAAGAAGCATGGGTTTCAAAAGCCAAGGTTTTCTTGTCTTATGGGCCCTGTGACTTTTTGGAAGGGAAAAACTAAAGCATTGCTTGGCAATTTTGTTCTCAGTCCAAAGGCACGTTGCTTTGGAAAGTGGTCAGATTCTGCATTTGTTGATGTTAGAATCCAAAAATATGGCAATGGAGAAATGGGAGGGATGCTTTTTAGGATTTAAGATATTTTCTCAGCCACATTTTAAACATGATTACAGCCCGAAATATTAATGGCATGTGGATCTTCTGCTCAACAAAGAGTTTCTACTGGCCTGCGCATACCAGTCATTTCTGGGGCGGTTACAATGTTCTGCTCACATCACTCACCAGCTGAAAACCCTTCAGTGTGCCCCCACTGCCCTCAGATGCAAAAATTATCATTGTCTGTATACCATTTAGAGAGGGCTGTGCTCAGCACTCTGCACGCATTTCCTTGCTTATGTCTCAAAACAGTTGTAAAAGGAAATATCATTAAAGCCATGACACAGATAAGAAAAAAGAGGCTTAGCACAGAGATGTGCCTGAGCTTACCGCACTATATGGTAACTGGGATGAGCCCCAAGCCCCTCAAGGCCATTCTCGGCAGTCCCCCACCACCACTGTAATCTCTCATCTTTCTCCCTCCCCTTCATCTAATTCCCACCATGGATGAAATAGTCCCCATCTCATCCACTACTCCACTGAGCCCCTCCTCACTCTTCCCCAGGTCCCCCCGCCCATGTCAGATTAGGGAGCTTCTCTGGATGAGGCAGCATCCTTGTGGGGAGAGGGTTTGGGCTCTGGGCACCAGGCGGCGGTCCCTTGCTGTGTCTAGCTCAGAGTCTGGTGCCCACGAGGGGTGCAGCAGACATGCACGGAAGGAGCAGCTTCATTCTGCACCCAGAGCTGTTTTCCTTCTTCACAACCCACATCGATGAAGAAGATTAATAAAATCTACTGGGGACACCATGCTTGAACGCGAGACAGGCCCACCTGCAGAACCAGGTGGAAACCCAGACTGCCCGGGGTGGGGCTGGAGGTTTTGCATTTCACCCAAGCTCCCAGGTGCCCCTGCTGCTCGTCCTGGCCTCACCCTGCCTCCCACCAATGCCTACTCCCCGTTCCTGAGCTCACACCGGAGCAGAAGAGCTCTAGACAAGTACGACACTTAACTAAGTGCTTATTAACGTTTTGGACGACTTCGAACCTCTGGCCCACGACATAAAAACAATTAACAGACCCATTCTAAGTTTTCTGTTTGGAGGAGTCATTTGTTACAGTGGGGGGTTTTCCTCTGCATTTTTAGAAATGCCAGGAAATAAAATTTTCAGTGTGACTACCATATCCTCATCTGGGGCACTGCAAGCTCACCACAGTTAGAGACTCCGAGGGGACCCGGGGCTCCCCGAGAAAGGGGGCGAAGCTCAGCCTAGGGTGACGCTCTTAACTTCTCAAAACATGATACCATTTACTTTGGCTTTGGCACATTCAAAAAAAAAAAATTCCCTCCTACCACACACGCGCACTCACGCACGCACACACGCCAGCTTTCGGTTCACAATGAATGTGTGGGTCTTTTCTGCGTCTGTGTCACTGGGGCTGGGGGAACGCCCGGGGGACAGAGGCGGGGCCGTCCCTGCGCGCACGAGGGACATGCCCCCTGCACGGCAGGTCAGCGCCCTGCCGGCCCCCGGCCGGTGAATCACGAAGCCCGCGTCCTTTCCCAGTTACTGTAGCTCTTGGAGCTGACTGAAAAACCAGTAGCAGCTGCAGGAAATGGGTAAGAGCACTGACCACAGATAAACTGTAGGACCCCACAGAGCAGCGGCAGATAGACTCTGGGACGGGAAGTGGCGCTGTCAGGCCGCAGCCCCACGCCCGCGCACGGGGCACACCCCCCGATGATGCTCGCTCCGCAGCTGCGGGGTGGCGGGCAAGTGCAGAGCGCAAGGCCCGCCGGGCACGGGCCCCGGCACCCCACCGCACCCCACCCGGGGGGGGCAGCGCAAGCAGTGGTCAGAGGGAGAAAGAGACAGCAAGAAAAACCCTGGCTTGGGAGTTCCAGAGGCTTCTGTCATCGACAGCAGGGGGCGGGGGTGTCAGGGGTTCTGATCATCAGGCCCGGGCTGTGCCCCGGCGATCAAGTCAGCGGCTGCCCGTGCACCTCCTGAAGCCAGCCGGGTCCCTGCAACCAAAACACCCAACTCTCAGGAGGAGAGGGGCCAGGTGCTCCGAGGGACAGACCCACGTTTTCAAATACTCCCCCAGCTTTTTAGCCAATTCCAAGGACAGGTCCTCGGACATTCATAGTGACAGAGAACATCCTAGCCAGGCGCTGTGCCAGCCCTTCATACACGACCCCATTTAATGCCCCCCCTCCGAGGAAGTAGGTCAGATTATCCCCCACTTTACAGATGAGCAAACTGAGGCTCCGGGGATTAAGCACACCTTGCCCTGGGTCGCAGAGTTGATAAGGGGCAGTGCCCAGATTCACGACCTGACTGCAGGCTCTGCAGTCTATGCCGGGTTAGACATCCTCTACTCCCAGGGAGCCATGGGGTGTGGAATTGAGGGAAAGAGAGCAGGTGAGCAAAGCCTCTAGCTGAGTGCCTGTGGTCAGGCTTAGGAACATCCTCCCACGGCCCAGGTGGGACACCGGCCCAAGCAGCCCAGTGAGACGGGGCCCAACCTCCTTGTGCCCCAAAACAGACCCAGGGGTTCTTCCAGGGACCTCCAGGTCAGGGTGGTGACCCAGGTCCCGCTAGCCCCTCACTTCTCTGTGCCGGGCTTCCTGACAAGCTGTGGTGGGAGAACCCGACTGCAGCCTCAGGGGGAGGGGCTCAGCTGAGAAGGGCTGACCTGAGTCCCCCTGGGGCTTTCCTCAGGCTCTCCCTGCAGGCAGCACCACTGTGGGGAGGAGGAGGGGGTCCCTCCCAGCCTCTGAGAAGCAGCCAGGTGCACCTGCCCCCCTGGCAGGAGCGACCTCCTCTGCTGGCACCCCGGCTGTCTCTCAGGGTAGCAAGACAGGAGTTCAGCTGGGCGACTGACTCACCCTTGTTCCTGGAACTATCTGAGGGCGGGAGAGGATGCTGTGGGTAGGTTCTAACTGTATCATCTGGGCTGGGGCCGGTAGCAGATGGTCCTTACAAAAAAAAAAAAAAAAAAATACTTCCATGTGGGCTTAAAATAGCACAGCCCTCACCCTCAGCTGAATGGGGAACTGTACGGGCCAGTCCGTCACGTGGGGGCGGGCGCGGCTGGCTGCAGGTTGGGACACAGAGCTCAGGCTCCTCCAGCCTGGAAGGTGGAAAAGGGAAGCCTCGGGCACCCACTGTCTGCCCGGCCTCGTGTTAGGCAGGTGGTATACACAGCCGCACTCGAGCCCCGTGACCGTCCTGAGCCCACGTGCCCCAGTGAGGACCTTGAGCCTGAGCCACACACAGCGGGCTCGGTGAGCAGAACGCAGAAGTAAGACCCCGGGCCTTCCTGGTCTGGCCTGGAGGAAATCTCAGATCTGCCACTCACTACTGGTGTGCCCGGGGCCCGTCCCGTTCCTTCACCTCAGTGTGTTTGTCTCTAAAATGGAGTGAACGGAGCCCTATCCCACCGGGACGCTAGAGGGTCTCTGCCAGGAGCCGTGCACAGGCATGTCATCTCCCAATACGTTCACAGCCCGTCACCCCGGGAGGCGTGACGGAGCCCGCAGCCTTTCTCCCCTTTTTTGAAAACTCCTTTTGTGTCCTTATTTAAACCATGCTGCATTCTGGAAAGTAGAAGTGGCAGCTCTGAAAGCGGGGTCTAATATTCCACCCTCTGGGCTGACGCCGTGGACACTGGGGTGGGGGGGTGACAGGAAAAGGGCCCGCCCACGTGTGACATGTGGCGAAGGCAGCGCTCGGACTCCCTCCTGCCCAAGGGGCCCCAGAGGGAGGAAGACCTCCCAAGTGCAGAGCAGATGGAGACCCTCCAAGGGATCCAGGAGGCCCTGGGTCGCTCGTCCAACATAGAAGTCTTGCCTGAGATGGAGGGTTTCTGCAGAGCTCACCTTGAGGTCCTTCAGGGACGAGCAGGGGGCTGTGCCCTAAGTGTTTAACAACCGGCTCTGCCGGAGATTGAAAAATAGCTCTGATTTGTGCCAACTCTGGTGATGTCAATGCTCCCCCCATGGCCAGTGCGGTCCCCGAATCGGAGCTGGGAAGACACGGCCCACTGGGCTGCCCGGAGCTCCACCGTCCAGCACACCCCGGCCACGAGCGGACCAGCCCTCCCACGAGAGGCCCGCGGGGCAGCATGTGAGGGTTAAGATGCGTGGACACTTCAGTGACCCCTGTGGTTAACTGTGTCTGGTGAAAGCCCCACTCTGCTTCCTAGCTGTGTGGCCTTGGGCAATTTACACAACCACCCTGGGCCTCCACGTGACGTGCCGCCTCACTGTAAGGACAATTGTTTTGTGGTGATCTCTACATAACGAGCTGGTATTTTAGGTGATGTAACTGAGGTCAAACCCGTGGCTCTCCTGGCCGGCTCGGGGCTGGAAGGAGCCTGCTAGAACCTCACCCGCCCAAAATCACATCCATACACGCCTCCCCTCACGCCTACATCCCCCTCACTACCGCTCTCTCTTCCCTCCAACACTTCTTCAAAGGGCTGTCAGGACTCTCCGCTTCCTCTCCCCCCGCCCACTCGTCCAGCCACTGCCCCCCTTGAGCCACCACGTCAGCTCTTGCCAACGTCACCAGTGGCCCCACTTTCCAAGTCCGAGACTCATTTCTCAATCGTCCTCTTACTCAACTTTCCAGCACCGATAGGACCTGCTGACCCCTCAGCTTCAGGGACATGCGTGTCCCTTGG